GGCAAAGTAACTTTTGAGCCACTGGTTTCTACATATAGTAGCGATCAAAAGTACTCGCTCGGAAAGTTTTTCGTCCATAGTTATCATCCTCTTTAATTTGTGACCGATTTGCTTGAAAACCTTGCATTTCATATCTAGCAATATTACAGACAAAATACATCACCATTGCAAAATGTCTTAACAACCGTATTCTTGCAGCTTTGACCGGTCATACATCATTCAATTGCGATCCAAGAAAATGCACCACACACGATTACCCACACCCCTCCGCGTTTGACAAAGTGTTTGGTGTTCTCAGATTATTCCTTTCAAAAGAACGACGACTTACAGACTTGATACCATCAGATCCAAAAGTTTAGACTAGTGAGAATTGATGACAGTGCAAGCTGGAGTCCTCATAATGCTTCATACTTACTCCTTCTTATCTACTACAGCTATACTACGTGCGGCTTCCGAAGTCTCACAATCAGTCTTTTTATCAACATTCCAACGACAGCTGTACGTGCGGCTTCCGAAATTTCAGCCTTCTCGACGTTTGAGCTAAGTCGGTAATGTCGAAAAGATATTCGAAGATTACAAAATGAGGATATTCTTCATTATTGACGCAGGAACGAAAATCAATCGTTGCAAAAAATATCGACTGAGATTACTTACTAAGCACTGTGGATATCGACTGAGATTACGTATCAAACACTGTGAAGGGGGAGGGGGTACAGGTGGTCAATTTATTAGCAATATCGGACAGCAAAGCATATTAAAATTTGAATAAAATCGGCTAAGCAATCGAAAAGTAAATTATAAAAAACTTTGTCGGCAAATCATTTCGGCGCTACTGTATGTTTCTGTTGTAGATGACCGCTCAACGGTCGTAAGTTAACTCTCATGGGCTTGACTAGTGATAAACTATACTGTCTAGCAATCACACTATTAGTCACTGATTGCAACACTCTACTATAAAAGCCTCATTCTACGGTGTGCAAATTAATTGCTGTCGTCTTGTGCTCAATAAAGCACTTCGCCTCGGAGCTGTAACAGTTTCGCAAAAGAGACGCTCGCACGGAGTGAGTACGAGAAGCGTTATTCCACTTTTTAGGCGCACCTTCCAGCTCTTTTGCTAGAAAACTATATCTCAATACTATGCGCCTGAATTAGCAGCCAGGATTTATACAGTAACCTACTATGGTCCTAAGAAATGTTTGGTCTATTTGTTGTTAAGAAACCTTTCAAGCAATGGGCTTTGATAATATAATGAAGCACATCAACTTGTTGTGCTTGTGTCAGTGCTCAAGTGTTAATGATTTTCAAATGAGGAACTAGCTTAGCATGTTTTCCACAAAGGACGTGAAACGTGGAGGTAAGCAGCAAAACATGAGAACATTATGCACTCTGCTTAATTTTTAAAGAGTGCCACTTAACGTGAAATACATATATGTCATATTCTTGGAGAAGCTACTCACATCACGAAATTGGAAACAGCTGAGTTGGACCTCGTAAAGCAGACCCGGAAAAAAACGAGAAGAAAGTGTGAAGAAACAAGTATAAGACTCAATAAGTTGACTAAATAATAGCCTCGGATAAGGTTGAAGAAGCACAATACCGAAATAACTAGCGAACTGGCGTTTCTGTTATTTATTTTATTGTAAAAACTACAGGGTGCGGCAAAAGTTCTGGCAACGTTAAACGTGAACGTAAAAACGGTCAAATCGATCGATTAATGATACAACTCCAACAGCATTTATCAACAGCTATATAGATCACGAAAACAAACTTGATCTCGAACTAGCCTCCTTTTGCGCGAATACAGGCTGAAAGTCTCCTAGAAAATGGGTGTCTCTCGGACGGCGGCACGGAAGTAGTCTTCGTACAAATCCACCATTGCTTCAACAAGGGTTGCACGTAGAGCATCCAAACTTCTATGCTTACTAGAGCAGGCTTTCCTCTTAAGAACTGTCTACACAGAATAGTCCAATGGATTCAGGCCTGGCCTGTTTGGGGGCCAATCGTCCGACGAAATGAAGTCTGGGAAGTGCGTTGCGCACCAGCCCTGTACCACATTTTACCTGTGTGCTGAAGCTGAGCCCTGTTGATAAGTCCATTTCCGGTTGCCGAAATGGAATTCAGCCCAAGGGAGTAACTCATTCTCCAACATGCCCTTTAGATAGGTCTTGCTATCCTCCTTGACTCCTTTCTACAAGAAAA